CCACACAGAAGGGAAGGAATTGAATCTCAATCCACTGAATCTTATTAAACCATTCTTGGGGAAAAGCGATTTCAATAAAAATTTAAAAGGAAGCAAATCGAGGAGCTGTAAACTAGAAAATAAAGGCAGATGGAATGATGGGTCCCATTTGGAGGCAAATGGGTGCACGGGGCTCGGGGCTCTGCTTTTCCTTTGCAAAGTGTCCTTGGAGACAGATGAGGGATACTGTCCTGGGACTTGTCCTCAAATTGGGTGGATATGGATCACTGTGCTCCAACGAGGAGGGACCCTCACTTCAGAGCCCCACTGAGTGCCCTGTAGACAGTCTCTGTCTCCACAGCAACCGTGCACGTTGCCTGTGGCTCAGAGGGTTGGCTCAGGCCCTCCTGTCTGCAGGGTCCAGGACTAGAAAACCATGAAGAACACCCCCATGTCAGCCCCCAGGGCTCTTGCACACATTTCCTCCTCTGTCCTGTTCTCCTTTATTGTTATTGAGATGTAATCTACATGCCATTAAAGTCACCGCTTTGGAGGGCATTGCTCCGTGTTCCTGTGTATTCATAGGGTATACAGCTACCACTGCCTGTGGTCAATTACAGAATATTTCATCACCCCCAAGAGAACCCCCACCCAGGGAGGCAAGCACTCCCATCCGGTCCCTCCTCTCAGCCCCTGGCAGCCACTGGTCTCCCCGATATGTTATGGATGACCATACTCTGAGCCCCCATGTATTTATGGCCTTGCATCTGGCTCCTCCCCTTGGGTGGTATTTCCAAGGCTCCTGACCTGGCAGCATGGATGATCCTTCCTGCTTTTTGATGGCTGAATGCTGTTTTATAGCTGAGATGTGTCCCATGTGTCTGTCTGTCTTCTGGGGGATACTTGGGGTGTTGCATTCTGGGCTACTGTTGGGTGCTGCTGTGGACAGGTGTGTATCTCTTAAGACTAGACTTGCCGGGTCAGTGGAAACTCATCTTTCTAAGGAATCGGTCATCCAGTTGTTTTCCACAGAGCCAGGTGGGTTCACATTCCCCAGTCCCACTGTGTGTTGTGTGTGTGTGTGTGTGTCCCAGTGTCCTGGTATCCTCATCAGCACTTGGCATGGCTCATCTTCAGTGCTCTAGTATGCCTTGAGGGTTTGAAGTGGACGGCATGTTCTTAAGGCACCTGTGAACAGGTGGAGCTGGTGCTGCCTCTACCTGGCCTCCTGGGTAAACATGCGGCTTGCTGGCCCTGAGGTTAATGGTGGGTGGGTGGCCATGCTGTAAGGCTTCCCTCTGTCATCATGGTGAACACGGCTGACAGTGGTGTTGGTACCTTCCTGGGGTGAGAACTTCCCCAAACAGCTTCACTTTGTAGGAGAGCGGCCCTAGGGACCCGCTAGCTCTATATACTAAGCAGGTCAGAAAGGGCAACGTGGGGTTCTGCGGGACGTGTGAGGAGAGAGCACCCTTGGAGATCAGATTTAATGCCCCTGCCAAGATTTGGCCTCATTCCAGGATGTCCCTGGGTGTCACAGGACAACAAAGTTCTGGCTAGCAAGCACATGGGGGCCAACAGGAACAGAACAGTCCAGGGTCTTTGGTGGCTGTGAGGAGCCCAAGTGTGTCCCTGGCAGACTAGAATCAGCTCTGTCTCTGTGGAACAGGCCTCCTGCAGAGCCCAGCATCTCTTCTGTCCAGTGGGCTGAGTGAGCCCTTGTCCACAGCCACCATCCTCCCACCCTGCCCTCTGTTTCTCCTCTGAGCAAAAGTATACCTTTAAAAGGAGGACGCTGGGCTGAGGAGGAGCAGCGTACCCACCTTCCCAGCCCCGTTCCCATGGTTGGGTTTTCTGCATAACAGCTGGATGTCTTGGAAATAAGGAGGTTTCTATGGTAACCAATTACAACCCATGATTGGTGAAAAATCACAGAAATATCCTGTGTGTGAAGTTATGATGGGGAGACAGGCCCAGGCTTAGGTGCCGTGGTTTTAATTTCCTGGGCAATATTTCCCCAAGTATGGATGGCAGGCAGACCTGCCTCCTGATGCTTTCTGTCAGCTAGCCTGATGGGGCCAAGAGAGGTCTAGAGGGACCTCATAGGACCTGCTGGCATCTGGTGGGATCTGTTGGGTTCTGACAGAGTTTGAAGGAGGCTGGGGAGATCAGGCGATCTGGATGGATCTAGTGGGACCTAGTATGGCCTGCTGGGGTTTGTTAGGGTCTAGAGGGGCCTGCTGGAGCCTGGTAAGGCCAAGAAAGATCTTGAAAGTACTTTCATGGCCTTACAGAGCCTGCTTGAGATCTGACAGAGACTGCTGGGGGTCTAGCTGGGTCTGAAGGGGTCTGGAGTCTGGAGGCAGGTGCCCATAGGGTGTGGTGGACATACAAGAGGTTTAGCAGGACCAAGTGGTATTAGTGGGATGTGGAAGGGCCTGGTGGGGCCTTTGGAGATCCCGTGGGGCCTGGTGGGGTCTGGGAGAGTCTTATAGGGCTGAGTGGGGTCCAGAGGGCACTGGTAAGGTTTGGTGGGATCTGATGAGGCCTAGAGGGTCCTAGAGGGTCCTAGAGGGTCCCAGTAGAGCCTGGTGGGGTCTAGTGGGGGCTGGAGGGGCCCAAGGGCCTTGGGAGGCCTGGAGGAAGCTGGTAGTATCCAGTGGGTCCTGGAGGGCCTTGGCTAGGCCTAAAGAGAATTGTTACATCCCAGGACCTGGTGGGGACTTGTGGGGTCCAGGGAAGCTGGTAAGACCTGATGGGGCCTAGTAGACCTGCTGGGGCTTAGGGAAGCCTCATGCCTATTCAGCATCTCATTCCCTAGGGACCAGACTCCTATCCACACAGGCAGGCAGGGAGAGGACTTTCAGGGTTCTCTTCACAGGGTCATCTACCTTCATGGTATGCAGGGAAGGCCGACACTGACCTAGATTTCTCCAGGCAGCCTGATGACCCCATCCCCATACCGAGCTTGGCTGCTGGTGCAGAGAAACCACACAAAGGCAGAACCCGCGCGAGCCATTCCTCGGTCCTGCAGCAATGCAGTTTCATTCTGCTTAAAACGCGGCCCTGGTTATTTGGTAAACCAGTCCTTTGTGCTAATTAGTGTTGGTGAACATGACTTTCTTTCTCGGGGGCTAGCCCCTTTGCAAGCATCAGTGGGTGTCAGCCTCAAGGATGTGGGGCTCAGTGGGGCCTGAGGAAGGATGTGCACACACTTGGACAGAATTACGTACTCATGCACTCAAGGGCACAGAAGGACATGCTTATAAGCACGCACTGACACAGACCCACATTTATGTACATGACTCAACGAGGTATACAGATACACTACACACAGTGGACACACTGGACATACACTGGGCACGGGGACACACACACACACCAACACTCACACATGAATTGATACCTTCTTGCCTGTTGATTCTCACACCCAAGGAAGAACTCAGACACATCCCCACACCCACACATGCTGACACAGCAGTCTCACACTCCTGGCATGTGCATTCACAAATTGACTCACTCAGACTCACAAGCACAGGCAGTCCCATTTACCACACTCATGCACACATACACACACACACACACACACACACACGACTGGATTCCGCCCCCAGCCTGCACACACATCCATGTGAATCTCAAAGGCACACACAGTGGCACACCCATCCCCATTCCATTCTTTTTAAAGACACGTGACACCTTATTAAGAAAAACAACCCCACGTGTGTCTCTAGGCCTGGTGGGTGCAGCTGTGGAGGCTGATCATGCAGTGCCCCCTACACCGACCGCCCCCAGCATACAATTGTAGAAGTTTTGAATTTCTTCTAACTTTCAGAGTCATGGTTGGCAGTGAGAGCTGACTTTGAGTGGCACCTATAATCAATTCTCAATTATCCTTGCTCAGGGAAGAGGGAGCGTGGGTTGCATCCTCCACCCCCGGCGGTGTAGGACTCCGCCCTGTTCTGGATTTTCACGTGATACTCCAGCGTCCACGAGCCTAGAGGTGACTCCTGCCCAGTGGCGGAGCTGCCCATGGACTCTGTGTTGGGGTTGGAGGGACTCACCCAGCAGGCAGGGACTATGTGGGTATTTCCCACTTGCCCCAGCAGGCTGAGCAGCAGCATCGGCTTCCCTCCTGCCTGGCTGTGCCGGGTCTGGCGTTTCTCCAGCCCACCCCAGCTGAGGAGGATGAGAGGTTTACCAAAGGGCATCTGCACTGAAGATGAGCAGGGAGTGGAAATGTCAACAGGGCAAGCACCCGGTGCTGACAAGCTTCCAGCCCCTCCCGAGCGGCTCTCAGTTCCCAGTGGGGCATCCAGAGGAAGCCAGACCCGAGGAACTTTGCTCATCAAGGTGGAGCACAAGCAGCTGGGTCTAAATGTGAACACTCAACTGGGAAACCAGGAGGGGCAGGATTCTTGGGAACGACGGGCAGGCCCTGGGCTCTAAGGGAAGGCCCGCCCTCTCAGCCTCATGTTGCCTTGCAGAGCCAGAGGAGGCCTCTGCCCTTCACAGGCCTCAGGAGCCTCAGCTGGCCACCTGGACTGGGGTCTCTTGTGATGCAGGGCAAGCCTGGGCTCTGGAATAGCACCTGGGGCTGTCGTTTACTTCGTATCACCTTGTGTGCTGTTGGGGCCTCAGCATCGTTGTGGGCAGGTCTGGAAATGCATCTTGCCATGTTGGACACGGGTGGGGGGGGGCTTCGAGGCTTGGTCCCTGCCCTGAAAGAGGCCCTTGGGTTAATATCCAGTAGGTATGTGAGGGGCTGGAAGCAGCCCTCCAACAGGCAATGGGCTCTGTCCTTCTGGAAGGGAGTGGGGGGAGGACATGCTGCATCTGAGCAAGCCCTGAAGGGTTCTGGGGGCCCTTTCATGTTCAAGGGAGCTCATTTTACAATGAGAAGGTGTCTCTGTCTGGCCCAGAAGGGTTACCATGTGTCCCTGTCCAGCGGGGCAGAGACTATCACAGACAGAGCCCTGGTGCCGCCGATGCCCGCTGACCCCTCGGTTCTCTTTCTGCAGCTCCATGTCCTTCTGCTGGCCCGGCCGCTCCTTTGGAAGCCACGCCTGGATACTGATAGCCATGCTGCAGCTTGTGGTCGATTTCCCATCCTGTGACTCGCTGGGCCCTGGACCTGAGTTCCGGCTCCTGCCACGTCCGCCACAGAGGCCCCAGCGACTGTGGAGTCTGCGAAGTGGGCCCCCGACAAGGCTACCGACGGCAGCCTGGAGTCCCCGCGCTGCTCGGGCCGACCGCGCCCACGGGCCTATGCAGACGCAAACACCTCGTGCCCGGAGGGCCCACAGGCCCCGAGACCAGGTGGCCACCCTGGGGCCCAAAGGGGGACTTGCCAAGACCCCAGCTACTGCCAGATCCAGCCCTTCCCTGGCCTCAGCACCAGCGTCATCCTCTGTGGTGGTCACTGGGGCTGCAGAGCATCAGAGCCTCCTGAGACGGGGCAGGAGGCACACGCAGGACGCGGGGTTCAACGACTTCGACTTCCGTGGCGGCAGGCCCACGACAGAGACAGAGTTCATCGCCTGGGGGCCTACAGGGGATGAAGACGCCCTGGAGTCCAACACTTTCCCTGGTGTATTCGGCCCCACCACAGTCTCCACTTTGCAAACACGGAAGACAACTGTGGTCACCACCACTACTACCACGGCCAGCACGGCCACAGCCATGACACTGCAGACTAAAGGGGTCACCGAGGCCCTGGATCCCTGGAAAAGGACCCCCATTGGGGTTAGTACAACAGAGCCTTCCACCAGTCCTAGCAACAATGAGAAAGACATCCAGCCCCCACGGATTCTGGGGGAGACCTCAGGTAGGACAACTCTCTATGGTTCCACTCTGGTTGGGGGAGGGGTGGGCTGCGGTGTGTCCCGGAATGGGGGACCCTGAGACGCTTTGAGGAGTGGAGTCTAAACAAGGACAAAGGGACAAGGATCGGGTGTGGACACCACAGGAGAGATGGGCACCGTGTGTTTTGAGCCTATGGTGCTGGGCATACCAGTCAGAAGCGGCAGATGTGAGATGGAAACACTGTCCTTTCAGTGTTCTCTGGCATGCTTATAGCTAGGCTCTGGTCAGAATCCACTGACCGTACCCCACAGAGACACATCTGGATTCTATCTCCTGGGTCTAACTCTACACATCACTTGATGGTACTAAAGCGCCATGAGATCTTCCGAACTCTGAGACTGTCAGTTCTTTGGGGCAGAGAGACATCCAGGTGGAATTGGTCCGAGGTCTTTAAGCCACAGGGAAGGCTGAAGGCCAGGAAAGAGGGCACTGTGCTGTTGACCGAAGCCCTGGAAATGGGGGCTCAGCCCTTCCCTCAGAGGAGGCTGGAGGAGGGCATTGAGGCAGGGGCAGGATGCAGGGCTTTGGTTTTTGGGGACCATTGCTTCGTTCTTGAGGCATGTGGACAGACAGTCGCAGCTCGTGGTGGCTTGAGGTATCTCCTTCTGTGTGGTCCTGCCTCTAAAGGGTTTAACAGGAGTAACCCTAGCGATGACCAGAACTGAGCTTTTGTGCTAACAGTCATGGGGAGAGAGAGCCGGCAGTCAGGTCCCTTTCCACACCCTCAGCTTCTGCCTCTGCTGACCAGCGTGGCCCATGGTGACCCTGGACAGCACCTCCCACAAACAGCAGTGCTTGCTGGCACTGTCCAGTGGGGAATCGATCCCAGGACATCAGCGAGAGCGGCTGGTGGTGCAGAGCAGCCTCTGCGAGGCTCACTGGTGTGTGCCCTCAAGGGTGTAGGCTCTGTGGGGCCCAGGGAACCCTCAGAAGTGATTCCTGAGAGTCACTTTGCGGCAGCTGGTGCAGAACCCCTGAACCTGGTATCCAAAGGAGGATTTTTCCCTGGCCGCGGCTCCTCTAACCTTGGGTAGGTGGACATCAGCCGAGAGCTGGACAGGTATTCACAGGGTGGGAAGCCTTTGTTCTTCCGCCTCCACCCTCTTTCCTTCTCTGAACAAGAGAGCCTGCTGGTTTTATCCTGAGCACCTTGGTCCCAGAGGGCAGCTGATCTGTGAAAACAAAGCTGAGACTACCACACGGAGACCAAGGCCTGACTGAGGCTGAGCCTGGGAACTTCCTGACGAGGGGTCTAGGCCCACATACGTGTCCTTCCTACAGCCTCCTTAGGAGATCCATGGCAGTGAGGGGTCATGGTAGCACATCTCAGGTTCCTGCAGAGTTATAGAGCATTCGTTTTTACCACCGACTTACTAGTCACGATCATGATGGAACTTGGCTTCTCCTCTCACCTCCCCTGAATACGTCACTTACTGTGTAGACATGGATGAGGAACAAGTTCCCATTTGTCCCGAATTACATGTGCTATTACGGACGCTAAACGCCTGGGACAGCACTGTAAGGCTTGGCTAATTAACTCACGGTACATTGGTGGTTGCTAATCCAACCCAACAGATGCTTATCTCCGAAAAGATTTATGGCTCTTCATAATATAATCTGCTACTAGATTAATTTGTCCAGCAAAACAGATTTAGAAGAAGGAAAATATGTGTGTTTGCTTTGAATGCAGAAAAATGTAGCTTCTGGCAAAGATGCCAGGCTGTAGGGAAAGGGGAAGCTGTGGTTGGGGGCCGGACAGCGACGGATCAGCTCTGCCCAGCCCTGGAAGAGGGACTAGAGGGAAGGCTGAGAGGCCTCCCCTGTTAAGCTTCCCTGAGGACTGCTGGGATTAGGTCCAGGCAAGAGCAATTCAAGTTAAACACCGGGAAGGACTGGCCAGTGGTGCGGAAGGTGGGTTATTTTCTTGGGTAAGTGAAAGTAGGTCATATAATCTCTCCTTGTGTATGTAAGCTTCCCAGGTGGAGAGATGGTAGGATGGAGGCCTGATCTCCTTGGATCCCTCAGTCTCCATCAGACACAGACGTGCACCTCTTTCGGGTTGTGGAGGATAACTCCTCACACATTGTCAGTTGGGACCTAGGACAGTATGAGTGGCCTTGTGTATCTCATAGATGTGGCCTGGGAAGCCCTGCATGACTGAACATTCGGTGATCGAGGCTGCAGGTCCAGGTGTGAATCTCCCCTCTTCCACATATCCCTGTGACCCTGGGCAAGGTCTCCTCTCTGGATGCCCCCCACCCCCTTTTCATCCGAACACTTGAAGCTTGAAACTCTGTCTTGAATGCCTGCTGTGCAGAATCCATAATCAACTCTGAGCACGGAGCCTGGCTCCTGTGAGAAGTCCCCAAAGACTACCCCCTGTGTTTATACCCAGCGAAAGTAGGTACAGGATGAAGGTGTCTGTGTCAGACGCAGAGCAGGTCACCAGGGACTGGAGAATCTGGTCATCTCACCTAGCTTTGCCCAGTTCCCGCTGAGGCCATCCTAAAACCTGGAATTAGGGTTTTAGGAAATGAAACAAGATTTCCTGAAGCCAGTTCTGTTCCCGGCAGAGAGTGTGTTGTTTGTTTTTCTTTTGTGGAGACAGATTAGATTTTCCTGTCTGTTTACCTGATGCCAGGCATTCCTGGTGGTAATTTGGGGCATTCTGAAATCCCTCAGGGCCTAGGGTTACATGGAATAGCTAAGGAATTGTCAGAGAGCCTCTCTCTCAGGAACTAAACTACAGGTCAAATAATTGGAGAAGTCCTTGAATTTCAGAGGAATGACTAAAACCTTAGTGCTTGTCCTCAGAGTCCCTCCACTGTACGAACTGTGCCTCTTGGGAACAGTAACACTAACCGTATCTCCTACACTGTTGTAAAATTGGTGCATGCAGTGCCCTCCGTGTGCTTAGGGTCCAGCACCTCATAGCGCCTCAGTATGTGTTTGCTACTGTTAATATAAAGATGATGATGATGATGATGACAAAAATGATATGGTGATAGAAATGACGGCAGTACCGATAGTGATGGGGTGGTGATGCCGTAGTGATGATGATGGTGATGCTTGAGGCTGTCATAATGGTCATGGTGGTGATGGTGATGACGGGGTAATAGTTATTGTGCTGGTTATAGCGATGATAATGATGTCGATGGTGGTGGTGAGGTAATGATGGTGGTGATGTTGATGAGGGTGATAATATGGTTATAGTGATGAGGGGATGGCAGTGGTAATTGTGGTGATGGTAATGATAGTGATGGTGTTCATTATGGTGATGGGATGGTAATGGTGATGATAGTGGTGATTGTAATGATGATAGTGACTGTAATGGGGGTGATGGTATTGATGGTAAGGATGGTGGTGATGGTAAGGATGGTGGTGGTGATGGTAGTGATGGTGGTGGTGATGGTGATGGCAGTGATGGTGGTGATGGTGATGATAGGATGGTGGTGGTGGTGATGGTGGTGGTGATGGTAGTGATGGTGGTGATGGTGATGATAGGAGGGTGGTGGTGGTGATGGTGGTGATAGGAGGGTGGTGGTGGTGATGGTGGTGATGGTGGTGATGGTGAGGACAGTGGTGGTGATGGTGGTGATGTCACATGATGATAAGCCTGGTGGTGGCAATGGTGGTGGTGGTGGTGGTGGTGATGATGATGATAGTGGTGGTGGTGGTGGTGGTGAAAATGACAGTGATGATGGCTATGATGATGGTGGTGATGGTGATGGTAGTGATGGTGGTGATGGTAAGGATGGTGGTGGTTATGGTAGTGATGATGACAGGGTGGGGTGAGGACAACGACAGCGATGACATTGATTCCTGTTCTTGTACTGACTGACTACCAGCTTTGAGGAACCCTTTCATGAAATCCCAGTGCCCTGTCTCTGACCTTGGTGCCGTGTGCAGTGGATGTGTGCATTGCAGGAACACCTGCTGTGTGCATGCTTGGCGTACAATTAGTGCTCCTGGTAGGTTCCCAGGCCTGTACAGTGGCACCTGGCTCCATGACTGCCCAGCTCACCCAGAGAAATCCCATACCTTCCCCAGCTCTGAAATTCAGGACTCTCAGAAGATGAATGGCCCAGGCAGGCGGCCTGTCTTGGAAGTCCCCGCCAGGGACCCTGAAGGTCTCTCTCCATAGATCAGTCACTGACTTGTGATTTCAAACCCTCCAGGATTTGATGGCTCAGATGTCACTTGAGTCCTGCCTTACCATTTTTGCACTGCAATCTGCTCATGCATTCCCAAGGGTGACTTCCAAGTCGCTTCGTCCTTGTTACCGTGGGGCCTTCAGTGTCCTTTGTCTGCGTCTTCTGTGAGCACCAGGGGCAGGCTAGTATTGTTTTCTCTGTACTGTGATAGCCAGCCGACCTGAGCAGGGGAACAGACCAGCGCATCTCTGGTGAACCACGTCTGGTGACAATGAAATATTTTCTAAATACTGGAATCAGTGGAAAGAAAGTAGAAGCAGCTGCACCCAGCTCACCCTTCCCTTCCGTTGAGAATCGTTGTGTCCTTTCAAATGCTGACTGCCTTTTAATTAACTTGCTGGGTGTTTGCTACCAGGGAGTCGACCTGTCCTTAACTTAAAGATATTTGAAGCAAATGGCTCATGAACTTCTGAAGTTTTGAGTGGCTTAATTGGGATACAGTATCAAAGAACAGAAAAGATGGAACGTTGTAACATCCTAAACCTTAGACCACTAGGCTGGCCTTTGGAGTGCCAGCTGGGGCTTTCTGAATGGGCACAGCCCGACACATGCAAGGTATGAGGTCCATGCTGTTCACAGTCACTGGGAGGGTACGGCTCGGCCAGCTGCTGCCTCGTCCCACACAACCCCTTGGAACAAGCTCCCCCTCTGCTTTTGCTGAGCAAAGCCAAGCTCACATCAAGGTGGAAGGGGACTCATTTCCGCACCTCTTGTTCCAGAGAGGGCCTGGCTGGCCTTCCTCCGTCTC